TCAATCTCTTTTTGAAAAAAAAAATTATATGCTTGCAAAGTATACATAATAAAAATTGTAATGAGGAAATTAATTAACGACATTGCTTTTAATGTCGTATTAATAATATACATGTACATATGTAGTATTAGGCCTATTCGTTGATCAATCCTAAGTAAAAAGATTATAAAAGTGAACTGGCTTTGTAAACTCTGTAAACTTTTTTTTGTTTTGAAAACCCTGGTTTGATGCTTTGTCACTATGTGGTAAACATAGGATCCGCCAAATAGACATGAATCTCAAATAGGTCTCCGTGAATCTCCACAGCTTGGAACCCACCCACCCACGCAAAAAATTATAAACAGTGAATCATGACAGAATATTAGATGAAATGTCAATATCAGTAGATCAGGTCTAACGTCTTATTACTTAGAAGGATGTAATATCATTTTTGCTGCATCATTCCTCATCATCGTGGACAATCTGCATCTGCATAAGCTTAGTCACAAAGTTCAAAGGGGGGGGGGGGGATAAACCAAGTAAAATATTTGACAAGCAAAAGAAAAAAAAGAGATTTGATATTCCAACTACGAGTATTCTCCATTATTTTCGGGAGATATTTACTCAGGTAAATTAAATATGGAGGAAGGGGCACAAAGATACTCTTGACCGCCCCCTTTTCAAAAGTGGTGGTGGGGACATTAGCCCCCCTATTACTACGCCTATGATCTAACTGCTGATGTCTCACCATCCCCCTTCTTCAAAACATTTCTGAATCTCAAAAGTAATATATGTATCACAATGTAATCGTATATATTATATGTTGCATAAACGATATGTTGCACTTATATTGTCTCTGATATTAAATTTTAGCGGTATAGAAATTGATATATGAAAGTGTATAAGTTGTCCAAAACATGTCGAAATAGTGTCATTCATCAGAAATAGTTGTCATAGATAAATTGCCAAAATTGGAGCAAGTATTTTTGGCAATATTATTTTAAGAAAAATATCGCAACAATTTGAGGAGGCGTTCACGGATTAATGTGTAAATGTGTTCGCCTTAGAGTTGTTACTTATCAAAATATGATTATTGACAGCAAGATAGTTCAAGATTTAATCATAAGTAAACCACAGAGCAAATTAAATTTTCAACCATTTATCAATTGTTCAAGTTAAATTTGACTGATAATTACTAGCTAAAAATTCAATGGCATTAAAAACTACAGTCATTTTTATTCTTATATTGCTATTAAGTCTCGAAATGACGAGAAAACTCTCTCGTTATAACGAGATAACTAACTCGTTATAACGAGATAATTATCTCGTTATAATGAGATAATTTTCTCGTTATAACGAGATAACTAACTCGTTATAACGAGATAATTAACTCGTTATAACGAGATACTAATTCGTTATAACAAGATACTAACTCGTTATAACGAGATAACTAACTCGTTATAACGAGATGACTAACTCGTTATAACAAGATAATTATCTCGTTATAATGAGATATTAACTTGTTATAACGAGATGACTAACTCGTTATAACAAGATAATTATCTCGTTATAATGAGATATTAACTTGTTATAACGAGATAACTATCTCGTTATAACGAGTTAATATTTTTTTTATCTTGTCAAAAATGAGCCTATCCGGCTTTCGTAATATATAAACAAACCAAGTACATTGTTATGACATGAAAGGATGCCTCTTCCAAAATTGTGAATTTCATGGCCCCAGGGTCAAGGGTTCTTGTGTAAAGGGGGGGGGCTCTATTGATTATATAGTGAAAAGCAAAATTTCTTTGAAAATATTCTTTTCTGCTTCTGGTGAAAAAGCAAAGAAGCCAAGTGCATATATTATAGTTATGATGAGCAAGAGTGCTTCTTCCAGAGTAGTGAATTTCATGACCCCTGGGTCAGATGTGCTGGTGTAAGGGTGGGGCTCTTGATAATATAGTGAAAATGCATTAATTCTATTAAATAATCCTGTCTGCTCCTTAGTGTAAAGCAGATAAACAAAGTGATTAGTTATGATGAGCAAACTTCTGGTCCCAGGGTCAGAGGCTCTGGTGTTTCTCAGTGGGGAAGGGGGGGGGGGGGGGGAGGGGCTCTATTGATAATATAGTGAATCTGTAGTAAAAATGCATTATTTCTTTAAAAATCTTCTCTGCACCTAGGCATATCAGAGGCAAAAAGAGTAAAAGTTTTAATAAGGAAGGGTATTTTTACCAGATTTTTGAACATCTGGACCATTTGGTCAAGTGCTCTGGTCCTGGCCAGGGCTCTATTAATTTGTATTCTACTGAGAGGAGTTATTCCCCTTTGCCATTTACTTTTGATAATTAATCATTGTAAATAATGTTTTTGAAAGGTGAATAGAATAAGAGAATTATGCAAAACATTTTATTGTATAATACAAAAAGTACTTTCATAGTTTTAATGATCAGGTAGACTTGTAAGTAATAGATAAATAAAAATGAGACAAAAATACCGTGTCTTCTTAAATGTCCATCAAAGACCAAGAACGGCCAATGTAAGAGATTTCAACAAGGGATTAAAATAGTACAGAAGCACTGATAGTTTGTTAATATACTGTATGGTGATAGTGATAAATGGGGAACAGATTAGAACCTAATTTATGAACTGTTAATGAATACTAGACTAATTATTTTGTTGATCCTGATCACCCTATTTTTCTTGCTTGTGGGCAACAAAGCTTCACCTTTCAGTTCATTTTATACTCTAAATTGCTGTATCATACTCAGGTGACCGTTAAGGCCCTTGGGCCTCTTGTTTCTGTTATGCTTGAATTCTGATGTTAAGCATTCTAACCAGCAAGTACAGAACATTGCTGCATATTGGGAAATTTTCACACCTTTTTATTTCCTTTTCTTTACATTCTTAATAGACAAATTAGGAACTTATTTATGCAAAAATATATAACTTTTCAAGTAGCAAAATAGAATTTTAAACTTGTCCATTATAACCTAAGATGAAAATTTCAAGTATGCAGTAGTAATTGATTAACATTAATCAAGAGACCGATATTGAATTGAGAGGTTGTGCTTTATCTGTAGAGAGCCGTGAAATTAATCTTGTCCATTTCTTTCACAGATTGAGTGGGGAATCTCCATACAAAGGTCAAGACGAGGAGACGACCTTTACAAATATTGCCTACAACAGATACAATGCCCTGAGTTTGTATGAGAACATCACAAAAGAAGCTCTCAAATTTATCTTCCGGGTCCTCAAGCGGGTCTCCAGGTAATGAAGCCCCCTACTGGTGGTCAAAAGCTATGGGCATTTCTCTAGCATATTAAATGATAGACACCTTTTTCAAAGTCTTGATTTCATTTCTAATAACTGAAAAATTGTAGAATTCTAATGATTACATGTTTATTTGGAAGGGATCAGCTCTTGGATTATTTCTATCATGGTGAACATAAAGCAGGTTGTTGAGATAAGCATACGCTATTGACAAGTTTATCTTAGATGACAAAAGACCAATTCAGCAATAGAATCTGATGTCCAGAGCTTTAAGTGAAATTTTGTATCCCTGCTATCTAGAAATGGGTCACCAGTAAACAAGAATCAGTCACTCTTAACCTGCAAAAGAATGTCTCTACATTCATAAAAATAAAAAAAAATCTTAACACTGGGGCTGTTTTAATATGGTTGTTCTTCTTTGTAGAAATAGGATGACTGCAAGTGAATGTCTAGATGACAAATGGCTACAGACATCAGAAACAATGCTTAAATTCAGAACAGAGGCAGTGTTCTCAACAGTCAAACTCCGTAACTATGTCACAGATTCCTTCCTGGAATCTCTTAAAGTCAGTGAAGCAGAACTGACAAGGCTAAGGGAGAAGTTCCTCATCAGACAAGAGGTCAAGGCCACACAGAAAGCTGAAAAGGTCAATATGAAAAACTGCTACATGTATAATTAAGACATGTTTATTAAATTACACTTTGAATTCTGAATTGTAATTTCTTTTTCTTCATTTAAATCAAACTTCTGTGAAATCTGTTGTGTCAAATAGTAAAATTGGTTAAATTGATGAAATTTCATGTATTTATTGAAAATACTATTTATGATCATAATTAGTAAACAGTAAATTAGTAAATGGAGTGTCCTCATTATAGTAAACTTCAGGTAATATTTTGTAGGAAGATAATAAGAACACATATCAACAATCTGACAGCAGAGATAATGAGACATTGAAGCAAGAGGTCAAAAGGTCAGAGGTTAAGAAGAGCTCCAGTGTGGAGGACATTGCAGATGACCTTGTTAACGGTGCCATGGATGAAGCTCTTAAATCAGAGACATTATCCTGAGGTAAATGAAGTGATATTAAACCAGACAGGACTTGATTAATATTGACACAACAAAACTCAAAATGTAAATGTAGAAAGTTAAACCATTCTGCTAAAGCAATTATTGTGATTATGAATCTGTTTTTTGTAAAAAGTTTGATAGATATATTGCTTTTTAATATATTGATTATTAATTTATTAGATTTTGTTTGAGACATGTTTGTTGCAGTTTTTGTGATATATGCTTTTAGATTTTTTAATTAAACTTTGTTAGTTTAATTATATTTATTGAATACGTATTCATGTTGATAACATTTTTTTGTTTTAAAAAATAAGCATAATACACTTTATCCACTGAAGTTGATGTGACTTGCTGTTTTTATTTATTCTTAGTTCTCCTTTGTTATTGATTTGCTATTTTTCATCATTGTATGTATGATAGAAATATTTCTCTCATAAATAATTTAATACAAACACTCTCAGTGATACTGCATAATTACTGGTTAATTATAGAATTAAATAGCCTTTTAGCGGGAGTGAAATATGACAAGGCCAAACTTCTAGTGCAATAGATTTCTTTTCAATAATTGTTTTCCATTATTTTTTAGAATATGTGCAATAAACTTTGGTTCTGTAGTTCTTGTTTGTGAGTTTTATTAGGTCACCTGAGTTTACTCAGGTGACCTATTGGTATCTGTTTTCGTCCGTCAGCGTGCGTCGTCCGTTAACTTTTGAACATTTTCACTTCTTCTCTGGAACCACTGAACCAATTTCAACCAAATTGGCATATAGCATCTATGGGTACAGGGGAGTAAAAATTGTGAAATTCATGACCCCTACCCCCCTGGGGCCTGAGGGGTGGGGCTAAACTATCAAAATTAATGCAATCTTTTAAAATCTTCTTCTTTACTCATGGACATCAAGCAGTCAAACTGTTGGCATGATTGTAATAAGCATTGAGCCCTCTACCAAAATTCATGGCCCCAGGGTCAGGGATTCTGGTGCTAGGGCGGGGCTACATAGATCATATAGTGAAAGTGCATTATTTCTTTGAAAATCTTCTTCTCTGCTACTGGGTATTAAATAAACTTACTAAGTACATAGTTATGAAGAGCAAGAGTGCCTCTTCAAAATTGTGAATTTTATGACCCCAGGGTCAGGGGTTCTGGTGTTAGGGTGGGGCTCTACTGATTATATAGTTAAAATGCATTAATTCTTTGAAAATCTTGTTCTCTGCTCCTGGGTATTTAATAAAGTAACTAAGTACATAGTTATGATGAGCAAGAGTGCCTCTTCCAAAACTGTGAATATCATGGCCCAAGGGTCAGGGGTTCTGGTGTTAGGGCGGGGCTTTATTGATTATATAGTGAAAATTTATTGAAAATCTTCTCTGCCCCTGGGTTTTATATAAACTACTTAAGAACATAGTTATGGTGAGCATGGTTGCCTTTCCAGAAATTGTGAATTTCATGGCCCCAGGGTCAGGGGTTCTGGTGTAAGTTTGGGCTTTAATGATTACATAGTAAAAATGCAATAATTCTTTGACAATCTTCTCCTTTTCTCCTGTGTATTAAGCCGATGAACTACGAGTATAGTAATGATGAGTAAGGGTGCCTCTTCCAAAATTCTGAAATTCATGGCCCCAGTGTCAGGGGTTCTGGTGTTATGTCAGGGCTCTGATGAATATATAGTGAAAATGCATTATTTCTTTAAAAATCTTCTTCTTTGATCCAGGGTATTTAGCAAACAAACTGAATGCACAGTTATGATGAGTAAGGATGCCTCTTCCAAAATTGTGAATTTCATGTCCCCTGGGTCAGGGGTTCTGGTGTTAGGGTGGGGCTCTAATGATTACATTGTAAAAAATGCAATAATTCTTTGAAAATCTCCTTTTCTCCTGGGTATTAAGCTGATGTACTAAGAGTATAGTTATGATATAATATGTAAGGGTGTCTCTTCCAAAATTGTGAATTTTATGTCCCCTGGGTCAAGGTTCTGGTGTTAGGGCAGGGCTCATGGCAAAGTTGATGCATGATACTCAGGTGACCTATAAGGCCTGTGGGCCTCTTGTTTTGGCTAGATATCATTTGTTTTTACAGAAATAAAAGACAGTGGGTTAGGAAATACAACCAGATTACCTCAGTGATATATCTCTTTTTAGCTCTTCTGAGCCAAAGGCTATGGCGATTTAATCAACAACTTTATGGAATATGGGCCATGACTCAAGAACCCAAGGACCAATTTTTGACAAATTTGTCATAGAGTATCCTTGGCCCAAGGGCTTTTGTTTATACTAAAAATAGGGATGTGGTCCTTAAACAAGGGGAGATCATGTCACTTCAAAGTTGACCTAAAAATTAAATGTTTTGTTCAGAACTTAAATATTTTGCCCACTATAAGGACTAGGATCATCAAATTGTGTCAGTTGATGCATCTTAGGACCTCATGTGATGTTGACTCAAAAGTAGGTCATGTTGACCTACTTTTTGAATTTGCAGGTATTCATTTTCAATTTGATTTGATGCATATCTTGGACACTTTGAAGCCCATGAATGTCAAAACTTATCAGTTTGTGAATCATTGGGCTTTAAAATGTGTCGACTAAAAATTAGGTCACACTGGCCTTCTTTTTGAATTTTATGGCTAGTCATTTTCAAAAAAATTAAGGTAATTGTTTAGGACACTGAGGGATTTAGAATCATAGAACCTTGTAAGTTGATGCATCTTGGGGCCTTGAAACTTATTTATTAAAAATAAGGTCACAGTGACCTACTTTTTGAATTTTGCAGGTATTCCTTTTTAAGAACCCTCTCTACACTGCATACTAAAGATTCTGATTCTGTGGTATTTTTCTGCAGTTAGAGTGATCTGCCCTTAGATATGAATTCAAATAAATTGAAATCTTCAGTGTATTACTCAATCTGTGATCAAGCATCCTGAACATTTTTAAAAGGCCAAGATAAATAAATTGAACAGTTTGTTTGCATGCATTTTCTCCACAGAAGACAACAGCAGTGTTTTCTGTTCATTCATACTTTCTTGTCTTTGAACTTTTTTCATGGGGGTAAGTGTCACATACCATATATCAAAAAATTAATAGATAAGCTTAAATTTACACATTTATATAGTATGTTTTTCTTATTGTCCAAAAAACATTTTGCACTGGTGTATAGAGGGTCCTTAAATGGTTTTGGATGTGTAATTTTGACACTGGATCATCAAACCTTGACAGTAGATACCTCTTAAGGCCTCAGAGTATTTTAAACAAAAAGTAGGTCACAGTGACCTACTTTTGAAATTTTGGCTATAGTTAAATATTTTCAGATACTGGTTGGCTTAGAATCATCAAACTTTGTCAGTTGATGCATCTTGAGTCCTCGGAATGTGTCAACTTAAAAGTAGGTCACAATGACCCACTTTTGGAATTTCATGCTATATTTAAATATTTCGGTATTAATTGGCTTAGAAAAATCAAACCTTGTCATTTGATGCATCTTGGGTCTTCAGAGTATGTCAACCCAAAAATTGGCCACTGTGACATAGTTTTGGAATTTCAAGGCTTTATCTAAATATTTCAAATAATAAGAGGCTTGATCCTGAAATTTGATGCAGTTGTGAGAAGCTTTTATCTTTGCCATAACTGTTATTAATCAATAATTTATGAGGTTTTTTTGTATGATGCACAAACAAGACAGGAAGCACAAACAAGATAGTTACAATATACCATAAATAATGGCATCCTAACCACTAAGACACTGGAAGTGGGGGGGGGGGCATAATTCTTTGAATTTGCTTGTTTCTCGCAAAAATTAATTTAGATCGCGATATAAATGATTTTGCTCTCTTTTATTCAATTGAAGATATTTTTTCTGCAATAGCTGCAACGTTAATTCCCGTACTAACAAACAAAGAAAACAATTTATTGTTTATATTTATATCTATGCAAATAATCATTTAAAATAGGATTTTGTAGATAAAATGGTGTATTATTGATATGTACGTCATTGTACGTTTTATTGATGGAACAGCCAACTCTGTAGAGGTGATATGCTAAGTGGTGTTTACGGACTGATAAACGGCAATGGTTTTCTTGAGAAATAAAGAAGATAATATTCAGTAGATATTGCGTCATTAACTGAAATGATTCAATAACAATGAGTAATTTGATGAGAGTGATCGACAATTGCTTTGATGGGAGCATACATTGAATTATTGCTCTCTTCTATTGAATTATTGCGCTTATCAATTCAATTATTATCATTTTATTTACAGACAACAAACAGTTCAATTATTACGGGCATTACTCACGATATCAACAATAAAATAAAATCGCGCAATAATTCCGGATTGAAGATATCATTTATTATTCATGAGATACTACCAATCAAATGAATTGTTTCGCACATTAAATGAACTGACGATTTAAAAAAAAGCACTTTTATAAAAGTGTATTTCTTTATATCCATGCTACGGAACTTTTTACCTTTGATAGCCACAGCCACTTAGATGTAATTTTATCTATTCTAGACCAAAGTACTGAAATGAGGTACTTGACGAATTCCTTTCGATTCCACTAGACACTGAAAAAAAACCAACAACACATGAATATGAAGCAGATTCCATATTACTATATGCACTTTCAATTATGAAAGAGAAACTTATAAAATAAATGTGTCAACCATTACAGGGCGATATGAAAACAATCTATCCTTTTATCTTAAATAATTGAGAAGTGAAAAAAGAATTAGATAAATTACACGATCAGTATGTACTGGTCACAGCTGACAAAGCAGGCAACAGTGTCTTTGTTTGTAAGGCTTATTATTGAATTGTATTTTAGAGGAAATGGGATTTAGTTCTGCTGGTGGTAACCCAACTTACAACCTCAGCTCCCTTTCTGAGGGGGAAATTCTTCAAAATCATAGTTCTATCAAAATGATTTTGAATTACCATACCTATACTGGAATCCTTAACTTCAAAAGATTTCTACAAAAAATGATATATAGCGGGTTCCATAAATGTTCTACCAAGCCTCTTTCTTTACTCCTCATCAAAATATTGAGAGCAGTGAAGGAGAAACTTTAGGAGTACTGTACAACAATATATTTCATAAGTGGTAAATCAGATGTTTAAAATACTTAAAACCTCAAAGTAACTTTTAGAAAATTGAAATCATTAAATTTCAATAAAATCATAACATCAAAACGTACAACTTTTCAGCACTTTATACAACCATTCCCCACGCTAAATTAAGCTTTCTGACATCATAGACAGCTGTTTTTTTTCAATAAAAATGGAACTTGTAAATTTACTTACCTTGTCATTGGTCATTTGCAAAATTATTTTGTTAAAAACATTCTGATTGTTATGAGCCGGACAGAGTTTTGTCATATTTTGATATGTCTTTTAAAATAAAGGTCAGAGTGACCTACCTTTTAAACCTGACGCACCTACCCAAGATGCATCAGCTGACAAAGTTTGATGATTCCAGGCCTCATTGTATTAAGTTAGGACACAAAGAAGCTAACAGACAGGCAGATGGACGGACGAACGATTGCCATACATCTACCATAAAATATCTTGTCATAGACATATAAAAATCAAGTACTCAAACCGAAGCACACTTTCATTACTTT